TGACACTGAATTTTATGGCTATGGCTCTTTAGTTATTTAGAAGTTGGTTATGTAGTATAAAACAAGCATTTCCTGATTTTGTGGAAAAGTTGAATGGTTCTTAAAACCAAAATGCTGTGACCGTAAGCATGTGTGAATTTCTTGTTACTCACAATATTTATCAGTTTTAGGGTAAAAACCTCACTTAAGAGGTAACAAAACAAGGTTATAAAACTGACATTTCTGTGGCATTTCAACTTCTTGTTATAGATGCTTTTTTTGCTCATGATTCATCTCAAGTGAATATAGACTACTATATTTCCCCATGCAAAGCATATGCTGGATTTAAGAGGGATCATTCCGCTTGGCTGTCTTTAAATACAACTTGCTTTATCTAGACATCTTGTGATGGCCATCTCGTAATTTGGGATGACTGCATTTGATTTGATGATAAGGGACTTGCTAAGAGTTAAGTGAGGACCAGATCTGGTTTAGGAAGTCCCTCAGCAAGATGCTGGCTTTAATTCCTTCATGTTGTTCTGTGAGGTCCTGCTAAGCTCAGTTTTCTGACATCTTCTCTTTCTGCCTTTTAAAACACAAATACGGGGCCTTTGTCTTCTGGCTTTTTGTAACTAAGCTTTCATTGCTTACCTAAATATTTCCACTCATTCTACCAACCATATCAGGACCCACTGTTGAGCTTTCTAAGCACTTCTAGGAATTTTTCATTAAGGTTCTTAGATTTTTGTCTCAAATGAGCTTTTTTCCTAAAAGCAATTAACTTTGGAATGCTTTCTTTAACAGCAGCTTACAAAGAATGCAATGAAGAAATACGTTCTGAAAGAGGTAAGTAGCTTCTTCACAAGTAACATGCCAGTTTTAATTTGCTTTGAACTCAAGGAACATTCTCTTACTTAAAGTTGCTGGAAGTAATTGAGTAGAAAAGAAGGTAGTGATATGGGTAAATTCATAACCATCTCAAAACTGTTCGTGTAACATGAGTTGCCAAGCAAATACTGTTAAACTCAGTATGTTTAAACTTTGTTCATCTTTAAATTACTGGGCAACACAGTGGTTGTTCTCACATAAATAAAGGCAAAGTTTTTGGAATGGAGTTCTGTAGAATTCCTCTGTTGCTGGCTGTTTCTTCTTTCTAATGGTAAAGCTTATCTACTTGAGACACGTGTTAGAGAACTTCATGAGCAATAGCGTAGGCATCTCAGTGATGATAGACATTAAAGCAAACCACAAAGGAACAATAGATTCTCAGTTTCAGATGCTATAGCATCTGGGATGCTATTTCTGGAAAACAGGCTTGATGTGTTATACTGAGTGCAAGTTAGGAAATAGAATTTCATGATTTGTATGTGCAGGAGAACAGGTTCTCCTGCAGGATCATTCATGTGTATGCAGGATCGCTCATGTATGATGAATAATGACTTTCTGACATGTATTGAAAGTGTCAGTTGGGAGAATCTATTAGAATGTTTACTTACCTGCAGTGTTTTTTGCAAATGGCTTTAGCCTTATTTTGCCTTTCTCTTACTCTGGAAATGCAAAAATACAAATAGTGAACTCCTGACTTGAATATGAATAATGAATAATTTTCATTCCTGATCCTTCCTCATTTGAGGTCCCTGTGAAATGGCTTCTACTGCTAACCTATTATTGAGCATCAAATAATTAATTTTATACCTCTGAGTTTATTAACTTGAAAAATACCTTAAGGAATACAGAACTATAAATGTACTGCCATGAACAGATTAATTTTAGAACAGATTAATTTTATCCTTGTGTATTAATAAATGCGTTGTTATTGAATAGGATAATTTAGAGTGTAATGAATTTTTGTGGTAGAATTGGTTGTTGCATGGTGGTAAAATGGAGCCTAATTTAATTTTCGTGAGTAGCTCTTCAAAGTAAGGTTGTTGAGCAAATGTTGAGACACGAATGCTTTACAAAAGTCTGACTTTATTTGTAAGTGAGTTTTAGGTCTAGTAGTATAAAACTAAGTTCTAATAGAATTTATTTATGAAATTTCTTGCCTTCCTGGAAAGTGGAGAGAATTCTAAATGACATCCCACTGAACTTAACTTCAGTAGCTCCATACTTAAAGTAATTTTAGTTTGTTTTCTTTATATTGTTCATGAACTTGAGTGGTTGTGTTCTTAAGGTCCAAAGGTGACTTATGTGCCTCCTCCTCCACCTGATGATGAACAAGCCATCTTTGCACGTTATCAGACAGGAATTAATTTTGACAAGTATGATGAAAACATTGTCGAAGTGTCAGGACTTGACCCTCCAGCACCATTACTGGTTAGTGAACTCATTAATCTCAGGGTTTATGTTGAGCTTGATTCTGCAAGGATGTATGCCGAGTGTAATATTCACTGCTAATGAAAATATTAATAAAGATTTTGAATCTTGCAGGAAGTACTATGTTGGAAGAAAATGCTGCCCATTTGAAAGATATAAATTTGAATTCAAAATTACATTGACAAACTACAGGAATAGCCCAGAGAAAGTGATACTGGATGGACAGGAAGTATAGTCTTTAAATTGCAGAGAAATACTAGTTTAGATCTTGAAAGAAAGAGGTCTTTGGCAGCAGTTTCTGGGAAGGCTGGTAGAGTCATCTTGTTGAAGTCTGTTACTGGGGGATCTTTAACAATGTAAATGAACACTTGTTGGAATAGTTTTCATGTCGACAGAGAGGTGTTTTTGAAGTAATTTCTAGCCCTGTTTCCTGTGGCTGCTGTTTATTGTTTAAAAGTAATATATAACTTTGCTTCTACTCCATACCAGGTGGCTCATGTTAAAAAAAAAAAAAAAAGCTCTTTTTAGGGAGAAGAATGAGGAAGAAGGGCGGAGGGGGTAGTAGCACCTGTGTTGAAAGAAGATGCAGAGTTTTTTTTCTCCATCCGTCTTCTGAAAGGTTTTTCACTGAAGTTAAACTGATTCTGTAGTATATGATGCCTTTTGGTCCTGGATAGGGATGTTGCTTTAGCTCCCCTTACTAGTTTTAGCACAAAGACTAAGTGTGTATCTCTTATGTGAAATGAAACTGAAGAGTTTTAGTTTGTTTTGATAACATGCCTTGATGTGAGTTTACCTGCTTGAATCCAGATATATGGCTTCTGAGCAATTTTCTTTCAAAGCTAATAACACCAGCTGAAGGCCTTCACTGTCCTACAAACAACTTTACTTGAATGACATGAGCAGGTTGAAGAAACCTTTGGGGCTTTTACATGTAGGAACCTTGGCAACCTACATGACTGGTGACACCTCCTCAAAAGTTAATACTTCTTCATGTTTGGATGTCTGTATCCTATGGTAAGCATCTCAGTTTTTAACTTCTGTGGTTGTGTATTGTTAATTTTTTCTCTTACAGGCTTTTGAAGAAGCTAACCTCTGTCAGACTTTAAACATGAACATTGCTAAAGCTGGATACTCTAAACTTACTCCAGTGCAGAAGTACAGCATTCCTATTATACTGGCAGGACGGGATTTAATGGCATGTGCACAGACAGGATCAGGAAAAACTGTAAGCATTTTGTGTAGTATCCATACTACTGAAGTGTGTGGCCTTGAACTTTTAGGTGGATGCCTCAGCCTTCAATGTGCCAGATGCTTCACAGCTTGTTGTCTAGTGATTTGACTTACACTGCAATGGCAGGTGGCGTATTAAGCACAGATACGAATGATGGGCTGAGTTTCTTTTTAAGTTCTGTGAACTAGTGTCTTGATACACCAGGCCAGTCTTCAGGGCAACAGATGCAGATTCAGGCAGTCATAGGAACTGCTGATGAGAATAAACTCAGCAGTTGGAAGTTGGGGTTTCTTTCTGTGTCGTGTGGGGTTTTGTGTTGGGATTTTTATGTTGGTATGTATGTTTTGTTTTGTGTGTTTTTGTGGTGGTGTGTTTTTTGTTTTTTGTTTTTTGTTTTTTTTTTTGTTCAACTTATGCCAGATTGTAGCAGTGTGTTGTGCTGTTTTGTCATCCTTGGTTTGATCAAGTCTGATCTGCACAGGACTTAGTTTTAGGTGATTCAGTGTTAATCACGGAACAGTGTTGAGAGTTGATATTAAGTTGATAGTTGTCTCAACTTGTTAAACTGTCTAATATACCCAAATCTAGCCACTGACAACTCTGTATGAGAATATTTGGATGTTAAATATAGCTTTTTGCCACTCAGTATAGTGTGGAATTCTAGCTTTGTTATGTAGCTTATTAGTTACTTGTTTTGAAAAACCCCTTCTGTTTGCAGAGGGGGAAATGTCCAAAGCTTATGCTATAATATTCTGAATGCTTTTGGGACTGCTGTACTGATTGTATTTTGGGGGTCACTAGTCTTACATGGAAGTAAAGGTGCTGGTGCAGCTGTGTGGCAAACTGATCTGCTATTGTAGTAGTCTGGAGAATAGTGATACATGGTTACCTTAGAAATCTACTGATGATAATGTAAAGCTTCTAAGTAAATGTTAAGGAGGGTTTTTGAATCTGGGGTACATAATTATCAGTGTATGTCAGCATGATGTGTGGAACTGCGTGAAGAACCCAGAAGTAAGCTAGTGCATGACTGTGTTCCTGCGTTATTAGACTCTTAAGGTTCAGAGCGATATTTTCATGCTTCTTAAACAAGGAGAAATAAGCTTAAATATTCTGTAGTGCATTCAGGTCAACCCTTTTGCAGTCTGATTTCCTTGAAGTTGATAGTGTGCCGTATCATTCTAGCTTTAAGATTGACACGCAGCTTTTAGTCTGACTGATGAAAGCTTTAAGACTAACCAGCATAAATACTGATGCTATTTTTTTAGGCAGCTTTTCTTCTACCAATTGTGGCCCACATGATGAGAGATGGAGTAACTGCCAGTATCTTTAAAGAGCAGCAAGAACCGGAATGCATTATTGTCGCCCCAACTAGAGAACTGATAAATCAGATCTTCCTAGAAGCAAGGAAATTTGTGTACGGGTAAGCTTTTGCACTGTTGCCTGGTATTGATTATTACTTTGTCTATATGAGCAGTGCTTTATTTTTTCATGAATACTTTCAAAAATTTTTCTGTGCCAATCAAATGACTACAAACACTTGAATTTAGATGGTAATACTGGCTAGCAGGTTTCTTACTATATGGCTAGGGATTTAAACTCCTAATCTTCCTGATATTTTGGGGGGGGGGGGGGGGGGGGGCGTGGGCTGTGCACTTCTTTTTTCTCTCGGGTGTGTGTGGTGTG